ATTATTATATAATAAATAACTTATATAATAAACAATAAATATATATTATATATTATTATATTTATAAATGCATACCCTATATCTCTTCCTCTCCCAATTTCGGATCTATTTATCCATTCCCATGTCTTTTTTAACATTTAAATGTCTTAAACACCTTAAGTTTCTATCTTCTAATCTCTATATTCTCCACTTTTTAAGTTTTAATTATTACTAATTAACATGCTGAAAAAAAAAAAAGAAATGGTGTTGCCTTTTCATCTACCGAAGCATGAACTAATTTTTTTAATATTAATAATTAATAATTAACATACTACTCATTCAATTATCTTTCAATTAAAAAATTAATTAACCTTAATTTATTATTTGTATTATATAATAAATAGTAAATATAAATTATATATTATTATTATATATATAAATGCATACCCTATTTAATACATAGGGTAGTATTTTATATATATAGATAGATTAAATAATTTACTAACTACTAATTATGCGTGTGTTCAGATTATGAAGGATTATCACCGTAAGGAACGCTGTGTGTAACCTGGATAATTATCTTCTTTTTTTATTATTATTATTTTAAAGTGGACTTTGTGCTCTGCTTTAAGGTCCACAATTCATGGATAAAGAAAGTTCAACTTTCAAGTGAAATGGACTTTCCAAACCTGAAATTTATATGTTTGTCCCTAATCAGGCTCTTTGTTCCAAAAAAATTCAAGCCTAAAAAATACTGGGCCTTAAAGCCGACCGGAGACACCCGATAGTCAGAAGGCAAAAACTCAGTCCTCCCTTCTTGCATGCGACGGCCTCATCCTCGCAATTCTCTCTGGTGAGTAACAACCGTTAATCTCTCTCTGCGCCGTGTCGCGTAAGTCTACCTTAATCGGTATTATGCTTCCATCTATGAACAGATGCGTTCGGAAGATTAGGGTTATGCTTCCATTTTTCTCTGATAGGAAAACTCGTGTTTGCAGTCGAACAAGGAGATCTCAGTCAATCGATCGAGTAAATTAGCAGGGACGGGAGGAGCTGAGCATGGACATGGACATGGAGCTGAGGATTTTTTAGGACGAAGGTCTGGAGCATGTCGGGTGGTCCATACTGCCGGCCCAAGCACTGGCGTCGCAACACCGTTGCAATGTTTGGTGTCTTCCTAATTTGCATCCCAATCGCTATGAAATCTGCTGAGCTTGAGGTCTAAAATTTTCACTTTTTAATTCCTTATTGTTGATTGTTAGCAGTATGTTTATGCCTTACATGATTTTGATAACTTGAGTTGGCTTGCCTTATATACATGGAGCCTCTCTGCGAGCAATACTTGTTGACAAAATAGCAGTTTGGATATAACTTATCATTCTGGTAATCTCAGATCAGGTGTTGGAACATATGGGTGTTACAGGCTTGAGATCCTAATTGCGGTTATAAGTATGATGTTTCTTGAAAAATGAGAAAATTTAGGCTATATCTGGGACAGCGGGTGGAGAGTACCGTTGTATTTCAAAAACTTAACTGCACTAAACACTATAACATGTGAAAAATACTACACTTTCATATAAGTTAATTTTTTGTTAATTTCATTGCAAAATTGAAATTATGTAAGAGTTTTTCATTTGGGTTTTAATTAAATTAATACATTATTTTTATTTTTTTTATATTTTTTTTCTATTTACAAAACCAATACTTCTACAACAATTTTATTCCAACCGAAATTCTATTAAAACTCAATCACATCAAATGGGCACTTAGTTTGTTAGGTGAAGTTTGAGCATATTATGTGGAAAACCTCTTCAAATTGAAGAGTAAAAACCATGGGACCTCCTTTCCATAAAAAAAGCTCCACTATATCTAGATAGTTTTTTACAATATACTCTTCAAACAGCTATAATAACAGCACAATGCAAGAGAAAAACAAGCAACTACAAGACAACAAGCAAATGGAAATGAGTATGCAGCAGGTAGAGGTTCAGACAATAAAACGTAGACGCTTTATGAGTCTCAAGGAATTTCTGCTATGGCTTTCAAAGGCAAACGAACAGAGGCACTGAAAAATCAAGGGTTCAGTTTATTCTTCACAAATGAATCAAAGCAAATTAAATGGAATGCAATCAACACAGTTAAATCAAATTGTTAGATATTGCAAAATTTTTTTCATATTGTTATTACCAACGAGAAAAGAAATAATTATGTTTATCTTCTCTGCACAAAACTTGTTTTTAAAAAATTATCAACTTTCTTTTCTTCTTACTTTTGATTTTAAGACGACTCTTTTTTGTTCTCAATTTATTGTATTTGCATAACATATAATTTAAATTTAAATTTTTTTATTTTTATTAAAAAAATATTACTATTAAATTATTTAATTAGTAGGCTCTAAAAATTATTAACTTAGTACAAATAACTTGATCCAATTTTTTATCTCTTAGAGTTTACTACGTGAATCCACCTTATATATAAATCATTTTATATAAAAATATTTTTTATCAGACTATTTTCTATTTTGCCTGTGAGACAGAATCTTAGACTAATAAGGGAATACTCAACAAAGCTCCCTCTAAGCTTTGTTTCGGAAATATTTACCGATGAGTGTTGTTATAGGCCCATATTTGGAAATGTGATTCAAGATGGCAGGTGACACTTGAAAAGTTTATGAAATCAGTTCCTTTTTCAGGTCAACAAATATGACAGCAACTAAATATGTAAACAAATAAGAATGGGTAAGGCAAACAAACACACATCAGAGACAATTTTTACATGGAAAACCTCTTCAAATAGAAGAGTAAAAACTACAGGACTTCTAGTCCATGAAAAATAGCTCTACTATATCAAGAGAGTGTTACAAAATCATCTTCAAACAATCACAATAACAGCAAGAGGAAAGATAAAGCAAGTAATACAACAAGAAAATGGAGAACAAATGAGAATGAAACAGCTACAGGTTCAGACACTGAAACATAATACAGCGTCCACTTGAAGACACTTTATGAGCCTTATCGGATTTCTGCCACAGCTTTCCAAGGCAAAGAACAGAGGCACTGAAGAAACAAAGGTTCGTCTTATTCTTTAGAAATGAATCAAATCAAAATAAATGAAATGCAAATCAACACAGTTTAATTTGGGCTTCATAATCACTACCTTTTCTTTTGATGTACGTCTTTTTTGCTCGTTCACATTCTCTATCTCTAACTGCTCCTTGCATTTTAGAAAGTGAAGCTTATAATCTTGTTCGCATCTGCTTCAAGACATGAATCAAAATGAAACAAATGAACTGCTACATGCATTCTTGTAAATGTTTTCCTGGTAGTGGTACAAGAAGTATGATGAAATATGTCAGGAACAAGAATGAAACAAAATAAGTTAAAACAAAGCAACCTGAAGAAAATGTAATTAGTGTAAAGAAAAGAGAGAATTTGGAGGACAAGGACTTACCAGCTTTGATGAACACTGAAATATACTGAATTCCAGCTCCAATCATTCTGTTTTCATTGCATTCCCCATCTCCTCCTAGATATTAGCAGAGTAAGAAGACAAGGAGTTCTTCAGAAGCTCCCACTAAAATCACTAAAATAGAATTACTAACAAGCTAAACTTTGACTGCAAACGCAAAGTTATCAATTTATAAGTAATCTATTAAGAACACATGTATTATACAGTAAGAAGACAAAGCACAAGTCAATAAGAACAAAAGAGAGCTCATTTTATCCAATTTGTGCCTTCAGTGTCTGTCATCATAATCCCTTCTTTGACTAAGAGTCCATTATATGTATAACCAAATTAAAGAAATTGGGGAAGTCCATTATATGTATAAGTATAACCAAATAAAAGAAATTGGGAAAAGAAGAAATGAACCCTTCAAAATACACTAGGCACTTACATTTTCTTCAATAAGACTAGCAGAGACAGAAGTTTTGCACTTCTCTGATTAAGCCATTGTTTGATAAATCCCTGAAACCAAACATCTCAATCTGTTCAATATCATTGATTCCTAGATGCTGATGGTTGGCCTTTTTACTCATTTCCATCAATTACATCTACAAAGCAAGATGAAAATATTGGAATGCCTTTTAAAGGGGAAAACTTACAAAGTTATAATTCTATCGTAACCACATTGAAGCTATTGAGACCGTTTTATGAGCAATCACTTGCACAGGGATCTCATTGTCAATTTCTTCTCTTCACTCCAGTTGTTGATTGCATGTCCATTATTACATCATCAAACTCAAAGTTGTATAGAGAATTTATTCAAACAAGGTATAATATGTTTTAGATTCAAAGAAAAAGGTTTGAAAAGCCGTACCATCTTCCTTGTCTGTTGGCAATTGAATGAGATAATCTACCATAAAACCACAAAAGCCTAAGAATCGGTGGAAGAGTTGATCTGTTGGTTAATTCCAAGTAAAATTCAATGCTTTCCTCACTACTGCAAAATGTGTGTACACATAATCTATGGCACCAGGATCTGTACGTTTGAAGAAAAATTGAAAGGACTGCAGCCATGGTTTATGCTAGTGAAGCTGCAGTGCTCTTGTCAATGGGAAAAGCATGTTCTCAAAACGTTGAAGTTCACAAAGTCATAAGGAGTCCAGACTCCAGATTTCATCATTAACAGTTTGCAAAGTAGCAATTCGCAAAAACACCATAATCTCTAACCTGAAATGGAATAAATTCTTTGCTTAAAGTTATGATTCAATATGAAATTAAACTGATCAAATTTATAAAT